CCGCGAGACAGTGTATGCTTCTTAGCAGTAGAGCATTGTCATAGCTACATTTGAGATTGATTTGCATTCTATAATGCATTTTATCGATGTAATTATGGTTCATTCATTGTATTACTCATCTTAAAATATACGGTTTAGCAAGCACCTTTTAGATAGGAAATATTATCATATCAAAGGGTATTGTTATTTAGAAATTTATTACATTTGGTTAGTCGTTAATTAGTTGGTTTATCTTTGTATATAAATCAATTCAAGAACCTATGTTGTAATTGGCTATCTCATTTTATCAATAATAAGAAAAATATTTTGAAATTGTAGTCCAAAATGCCAAGAACAAATGGAGTTTGATCAAAAAGTCAGATTTTAGAAAATATCTAATAATAATAACAAATAACAACTACGGTAACAATAGAGTTCATTTTATTTCAGATTAGTTAATTGAGTTTACTCGATCTATAAATACTCTTATTATATGTTTCTCAACAAATAAAAAATTAAAGATGGGATTAAACAAAACTTAAAATTTAAAAGTCATAGACAAACACTATTGCACGTGTCAACTTTGATAATACTTTAACTTAATGATACATGATAAGCAATTTATTAGTGAAATAGAGATTTTAAGTGTTTACTATTTACTATTTAATAATTTTAACTCATTCCAAATAACAATATCAAAATTATATTTCAACTAAAATATACATTCAAAATCAACCTCGTTGTACCCCAATTAAAATCCATGTAAAATATTGAGTTATTTAAATTGCTGAGTCACGTTCTTTATTTTACAAGGAATCTGAGACGGGCATATAAGATTAATATCCCATTTCGCATGATGAATTCCCCATTTTGTTAATTCTTTAACTTATAAATAATATAACCAATAAAGTGAAGCACTTAAGATATGAATTTTTTCGTACGAAAATTTTGGTACCACTAATTGTACAAGGGCTTAACTCGTTTCTTGGTGGCAGAAAGGTTATTCTTTTTGTTTAACGTTTTAAAGAAAAAGGTAAAGAGAAAATGTACTAGGATTGGTGTGATGTAGCTTTAATCACTTTGTTTCCCTTCTTACATGCCCTGAATCAAACTAGTTCAAGAAAAGTTCAGAGAAAGTATATTCCCACAATAAAATTATACAATAATTTATATGATTTTTCTTTTTTCTCTTTATCTATCACTTATTGTATGAATACTTATATACTTTTTTTAAAAAAGAATATTATTTCTCAAAAGCTAAAGCCTAAAGCTGGTCAATGACAGCTCCATCTCAGTTGCTCATGAAGTATAGTCTATATATATGGCGCATCCTACACGATCACCACGACAATTTTACAGTGCACCATTAACTTATAAGTCAAACAATTGAAATGCTTTTCAATCCAACAAATCCCTGATCCGAATTCTTAGAAGCCTTAATTTAATTTATTTTAAAGAATATATATATATATATATATATATATATATATATTAAATATTTTAATTAAAATCAATGATAATTATTATTTTTAAATTGGACACATATATTTACTTTGTAGATATTATTTGTTATTCTTTATTCTAAGTTAAACAAATAAAATATAAAGATTGTAGAGATATTAAGAAGAGTTTATAAACCTATAAAAATACTGTCATTTTTACAAAAAAAATTATTTTATTTTAACAAATCGGTTAATACAACTTATTTGAAGTTCTTTTATTTTATGTTAATAAGTTTTATAACTTTTCAATATTTATACTCAAATTTATGACTAAATTTCATATAAAAATAGAATTATTTAATCTGTATATTTTAAATACACCTTAAAAATAAATCAAATTATCTAATCTAATCAGAAACCTAAGTTGCACCTTTTAACTTATTTTTAAATTTAAACATTTTTAAGCATATATTAAACAATTTTAAAAAATGAAGAATGAATCTAAGCGGTGTTTAGCCGTTTTATTTTTCTTTGTTTAAATGAAGAATCGGACCAAATATAATTTTCAAGAAGTTCTAAAACTTTAAAATGAACTTTAATAAATAAGACACAAAACAGAGCTTTTTATGGGGTTAGTGGGAAAAAAATTTACATTTAAAAAAGTGTTGTAAAAAAGTTAAATTAAACACTATCTAAATCGATTAAAAATATATAAATGAGACAAAAACTGATTTGACCATATTTAAAATTTTTGTAAGCTTTATTTCAATTTATTTAAGAAAATAAAGACTAAATAAGAGAAGGGTTAAATTTCCAAAATAAATAATCGTTTGTCTTAGTTCTTTTTCAAAAATTCAATAATCATAATTTTTTTTTAAAATAAGATAAATCAAACGTATTTTAAATTTAGCTTTTTATCATTAATATGAATCTTGCAAAAGGTATCATTTTTAAGTTAATTTAAAAATTTATGTAACTTAATTTTTTAATAATTTTACAGTAATATATTATTATATCAAATAAATATATTTAACTATGCGAGTCATGAATAAATGTCTTTATCCATTGAATGAATCATATATTTACAATTGTCAATTGTCACTTTGTTTCTTATGGTTGTCAATCGTCATGAGCTCAGGTTTCCCACACTACACCACCCAACCGGGCCAAACATGGACACCCTGGCCTCATGCACGTGACGAGAAACAGTGTTAATTTACTAATGAAAAAAAAATTGAACGCCTCTAGGTTAAAAATTATAATCTATAATAAAATTTAGATATATTAATTTTAATATTTCCCCACCTCACATTTTATAATTATTTTGTCAAATTTGTACTTTTAAGGAAATATTTATTTTCTATAATTTACATCAATTTTTATTATAGTCTACACGTTTTAAAATTTTAATTTTTTGTTTTTATAATTTTGCTTTAGATTATTGTCTTTAAAATCTCATTTTGTTTCAATTTTTTATCTTCCTCGTATATTAGGCATTAATCCATGTAACTATAAGTTATAGGATATGTATTTTGACATATTGTTCAAAATAAGGATTGAAATTGGATTTTTTAATATTATAAGAAATAAAAATCAATCTTTTAAAATATGTATCTAAAATAAAAAATATATATAAGAATAAAAATACATATTTAAACCATTTTTTTGTCACACTACTTACCATATGTAGAGATGTTATATTATGCAATCAAATGATACAATAATTTGTAAAGTTTATTTTACTCTTTTTCTTTCAGTTATTTGTTTCACTTTATTTAATTTTTTATTTTTGTCTTAATTATAAATAAAGTTGTATAAAAAAATTGTGTAAATTAAATTTCTCTCGTGTATACCACTTTCTTTATTTTAATTTATTTAGTTCTCTCTTTCTTTCACCATAGACTATGCATACCTCAAGAAGTGTGGAAGACTCGTTTTCCAGGGAACATTATCTACTTAAAAATCAAGCAATGGAGGAAGTTAAAAGTCTACTGTGGGCGATCCAATCAAGCTTTCACAAAAAATATATTTTATTGTTGAAATGTAGATATAAAAAAAAGTAAAGCATTTTGTCCCAACATTTGCCCATAATCCAATGAGTGATGTAAAGTTATTTAATGTGAGGGTTTTGTCATCGACTTTAACTTGTTCTCGGATGCTATATACAATGATAAATCCCATGCCTACAGCTTATTTCAGCTGAATATCACCCTGTGAAAAACATGAGATTGACTATTTAATTGGTGAATAAGAATTATCTAAAATAAATACATTTTTCTTACTCAAAGAAAAAACTCAATTTGAAAAATCATTTTCTTTAGTAACCGTGCTCATTCTCATATCCTTATCTCCCTAGCGTGGTCTACATTCCAACTTATATTTGCAAGAGGAACATTTGAAAAGTTTTTTTAAAAATTTATTTAAACTTATAAAAGTAATTTATAATTATTATAATTTTTAAATTTTTTTAATATTTTTTGAAAATGATTTAAATTAGTAGAGATAGACCATCAAGCACATGTATTAATTAATTAGTAGGGAGTTGTTTTAAGTCAATCTATGATTTTGAGTTCCAATAAATGTAATTATATTAAATATTTGGAGAAAAAAATTATCATCTGTAATAATTCTATTCGATTAAAATAAAATTGTTTACAATAGAAGATATATTTAGTTTATAAAAAATTGATTAGTATGTTTAGAACAAAAAAAAAGATAAACATAAGTTAATAAAAAAAAGTGGAGAGGAAAGCATTTCAAGGTGAGACTTACAAAATTTAGGTCTTTCCAAAGGTAGAACTCTCGTCGGATAAAAAAGCAAAATGTAATTTTACGCATAACTTTTTTTTCTTTTTAATTCAACAAAATCTAATTTTATATATACACACACGTTCATTCTTAAACTCATCTAAACAAAATTTTAATTTTTTATTTCTATTTATTCAAATTAAATATTTTTATTATATTTTCTCTGATCTATTTATTTTATTACTTCTTTCATCAACCAAAATTCTTTGATTTATTTTTAAAAAATTATTATCAAATTTATGTCATAAACTATTTATTAAACACCGTTTACTCAAATACGTCCTAAAGGCCGGTGCAGAAGTCCTTGATAAACAGAATTGATGTGACTCTGAAAGGCATATTACATGATAAGGGATGTGTCATGCAAAATTATAAGAATAATGACCTCTGTCGATAAATAATTCCAGAGTACCTATTCATGACGGCCGAAAGCGGATGCTTGAAAATTTTCTAACTCGTGGTCGTCATGATGATAGCATGGAAGAAAAAAAAAAATAAACACTCACGTATTTCACATCTTTCTAGGAATGATATAGATGATCATGCTGGTTTGGGGAGTCATACCAGGAGCTATCCCTCCCCTCCTAAATCGAAAAGTGAAAATTTATTTCTTAAGAATTTGTTATGAAGGGATTTGTAAAAATTGAAGTTCGATGCATTCTTAATGTAAAAAAGTAATTTGCTGTCTGTCAAATATGATCAAACATCGTTTGTCACAAATGTATATAAGAGCACGTGAGCATCGTCAAATAAGATTAAAAGAAAATTTGTAAATTTTTGTGACGTTTCTATTTCTATGCGGAATTAGGAAACCAACATATATATATATACCAAAATTTGGTGCCCATAGCCAATTGAGCTTCTTCAGAGACCTTGAGAGAATATATATACCAAAATTTTGGCGATCTGAAAGCCAGCCCACTCGGGAATATCAGTGTAACAAATATGTGCCCCAATCTCAATTTCAAATAATGACAAAAAAAAATCTTAATTTCAAATAAACTAAATGTAATTTCTATATTTCTCTAATCTAAACTGCACTAGTTAGAAGCTCTGTTCTCGTACTATCTGTTCTAGAATCAAGATCATTAGCTTTACCACTTTGCACTTTGGATGTTATTGCTCCTGGAATAGTCAACGGAGTATTACTTAAAGATATTAAATTATGCAAATTTTTACTACTGGAAGATGATTCAGTGCCCGACAGAATTCGTCTCAGTTGTGACTGCTGACAAACAATGCGTCCTTTGTTCCATCCAGGGAAAGCAAAGGATGATGAAACGTTATCCTGCAAGAATGAAATGGCAGCCTTTGCGATAGGGAAATCTTGGCTATCTGTGCTTTTCTCCATGAAACCCCGACTGGAAAATATATCAACGTTAGAAAGCACTAACTGGTGATCTATATCAGGTACTAGATAAATCTTTTACTTTTCCTGATTAAAAAAAAAAAAAAAAAGACAGACCACTGCACCTTCCACCTATTCATAACCAAAGTGGATCACATGCAAACATATTCTGCACCAATTTTACACCTTATTTCTAACATCAATGGTTTAACTCAGCTGTGTGGTGCAGAAAATAAATAAGATTTAAGTTTTTTAGGGGCAAAAGGAACTTACACCACAACAACTGTTGCTAGCTCAGGAAGATCCTCGCCACTCATGAACATTTCCTGCATATTGTTCAGCCAAATTGATAGTGCTGTTAATGCACCACCTTCCGACATCCTGCAAGACAATCAAGCTTTAGGTTTCACATGATTCATTAAAGCTATAAATGCTTAAAGCTCTCTCATTTTGGAGGCTAAGAAAAATAGTGTTATCAACTTCCAATTTCAATGATCATGTCTCTTGAAAATTTTAGAAGACTCCAATAGTCACATTTGTCCATCTTGTTAGTCATTTCATCTACTCAATCATTCTCACGCTTAAATTTCAACTACCAATTTGTTGATTGGTTACTTAGAGAAAATCATCAGGAAGCACAAAATCCTCCAAAATTAACCTTTCTAACACGAAAGTAAATTGGCTAAAGAGACCCTCTCTGAAAATCAAGAAGGCTAATTGCCTGAATAGAAAGTGGAAGGTTGTAATTGTCTATTGATAGGGTATCGAATAAAGAATAGAATTCTTTATTGAATCTTCTCTGAACAAAAGAAGAGAATAGGAAACAGTACAACACCTTCCTCCTAAAATTTCAAGAGTTCCAGTCTCTCCTTCCAATATCTGATTTCTCCACAAATACCCTCCCTCCCTTTCGAACTAACTATTTATAAAGCATGAAACAAAATAAAGTTATAACCAATACAGTTATGACTAACAATTCAAATCCCCTGCAGCTGCCCTATTCTTAGGCTTCTTCTGATAAACCTTCACTAAAGGTGGCCTACACCTATCAATACTCGGTACCAAAAGCTTCACCTTGTCCTCAAGGTGAAAGGAAGGAAATGCCTCTTGCATCCTCGCTTTCTGAAGTGTCCTCCTCCCTCCCATTCATACCTTCTATTTCCTCCAACAACATCACTTTTAACTGCTTATTTTTACAAATATGGTTTGGGCCATATTTTTCCTCACATCTAAAACACTCCCCCTTTCTTATTTTCTCTTGCATTTCTACATTGGACAACCTTTTGAAATCACCACCCCGTCCTCTAAATCCAGACCCACTTCCATTACTACCAGCAAATGATGCAGCTAAAACTACTTCAGCATTTGTTCCTCCCACTCTCCGTTTCTGCTCTGTATCCACAGTCACTGTATGAGAGAAAGAGGATGGTCTATAATTGCTTTCATGCTTCCCTATGGCCTCAACTCCATTCTTCATCACTGTTGCATTCTTTTGATCAATCATCAAAGTTTTCTTCATAATTGATGATAGATTCGGAGGTTCATACAATTTCACCTCAGCTCCAATTTCTTCCTTCAAGTCATTGACAACTATATCCATCAAATGTTCCTCTCCTACCCCACTCAGCATTCCTACGAACTTCTCGAATTGAGAAACAAATTCCTCCACCATGCCTTCTTGCCTTAAAGCCAATAAAGCTGCAAAAAAACTATGTACCATGGCAAGCTGAAATCTACCAATAATGGCTTCTTTAAACTCTTCCCAGTTTTGGTGCGCATGACATGACTCCCACCATTAAAACCAACTTAGAGCTTTACCTTCAAGGGCCATCATCACTGCCTGAAGCTTCTCCCCCTCCTCAGCCCCTTGCAAGCGAAAATAGCGTTCCAATTTATTAACCCCCCAAACACATCTTCTCGTTTGTACACCAGAATTTTCATCTTTTCCCCCTGTTCACTCCCTCTGATAGGTTGCCCACCTACTGCCGCCTCTGACTGAGCGTCATCTTCTGCCTGTCATGCTGCTTCTTTAGAACGGCAAACCAAGGATTCCACCAACACTTCTAGTCATCAAAATCATTCTTCCTCTCAATTCCGATTCTCTTATCACTCACAATTCCAAGCTTCTTGATCGCAGTTCCACAGCTCTATACATTACTCCAATCGTTCGATTCTTGACTGTATTTTGGTAGTTATTTTGCGCATAATCGATATCGATACCATAGCTCCTAGATGGAGCTCTGATACTAGATTGATAGGTATCGAACAAAGAATAGAATTCTTTATTGAATCTTCTCTAAACAAGAGAAGAAAATAGGAAACAGTACAACATCTTCCTCCTGGAATTTCGAGAGTTCTAGTCTCTCCTTCCAATATCTGATTTCTCTCCAGATACCCTTCCTCCCTTTCGAACTAACTATTTATAGAGCATGAAACAAAATACAGTTATAACTAATACAGTTACGACTAACAATTCAAATCCTCTGCAGCTGCTTTATTCTTAGGCTTCCTGTGATAAACCTTCACTAAAGGGGGCCTACACCTATCATTTATGTCTTGACACTGGAGGTTTTATATATGCTTTCCTTTATTAAATAATAATACAAGTTTTAAAAAGAATTGATTGTCACTATACCTGTGCACATCCACAGACCACACAAGTTTACTACTGCGAAAAAGTTCAGGGAAAAGCCCTCGCTTTGATGCTTCTTTGAGCACTCTTGCAGCCCTTTCTCTCTGGAACATCCACCAAAGAGCTTCTAATAGTGCATTGTAGAACCTCATTCCCAATCCACATCCTTCAGAATTGAGTTTGTCAAAGACATACTCCACAATCTGCCAATTAGATTCATCATCAAAATCTCCCTTAATCATTTGTCCAATCACTTGATGAATATCTGACACCCTCATTCTGATCATCTCATCAATTAGATTATAGGCATCATTTGACCTGAAACCATGAAGACAGAGAGGTAAGCTCAAATATGAAACATAAATAAAGCATTAGAAGGAAAATGCAATTAATAGGTGGTCAAAGTTGAATCAAAAGTTCACACAGAGTTAAGCTTTTACTTGACAAACATAAGAATGAGATAGCAAATTGCAAAGAGAAGTAATGAAAAAGAAGGTTCCCCCGTGTAAAATAAAGTGAGAATGGGTCCTAGACAAGATCTAATCAGCATACAAATGTGCCACACAACATTGAAAAATTCTATCACAAATATTATTGTTTCGTTAGACTTCAAATTATGATTGACATCCATAGTTGATTTTATTTATTTATATTAATTTCAAAGTAGGTCTATGGCCTAGTGTGGAGAGGGAGATGACAAACGAAAGTGAAGGTAAAATGGCTTGGCTAGGATTATCCAGTGATCAAGTAGTCCCCAAAAGGGAACTGGTTAACAGTACACTTTTTGAAGAGCTTCAACAGAGCTTATCATATAAGCACTTAATAGGTGTTCAGCTAAGCTTATAAAGTGGATTACAATGTTGTTATAAGGTTTTTTAAACTTATTTTGATAAGATTCACAACAAAGCTTATCAAAATAAGTTTATTGAACAAATACTTCAAGTGTGCCCTAAGTTCAACGAATACAAGCACACAAGAAAATGATGTCATAACATGTATCCACCATAGCTTGAATGCAAATATTATTTTTACATAAAGTCTTCAATACCATGTTTTTTGGGCTCCAACTCCCACTATTTATTCAAATCGCCTATCAGTAAGACAGTAAATCAAACCATCTATACTAAGCAAAATAAAATTCAGTATACAATTGACACCACACTAATAGAACATTGCATGAGAATTCGCTACCAAAAAGTTGAAAAATGTAAAGATGCAGAATAATAATGTACAAAAATACAAATCGCTCCAGAAACATTCAAAGTTTGCTAGACATAACAAAGCAAAAAGTTAATTGTAGGGGTAGAATGTATAGGGATTTGGGGGAGAAAATTACTAAGATGAGATGCAAATTATAGCAAAATATAAAAATCTAATGGAAAATCATATGGAACTTCCAAGACCAAAACTCATAATTCAGGGAAGCTTATAGTTATCTAATATTCATGTTAGTTGCATCTGGTGTTGGTCACATGAGCTAGTGAAGTATTCCTTTGTTCGAAACAAGAAAAAGTAGTCATGCTTCAATGCTCAATAATGGGCCCAAAAAATTCCTTGCTTTGATACTTGTTTCATTTTAGTCCAATCTCACAAACAAACAATAAGTAAAACATTTACCATATGTTTGTATGTCAACATTGTACCTGAATTGATGTCAACATGTGATGTAATGATGCTCCGAGACCTCGAAAGTTTATTTAGGAAGAAAGCATGTGTAACGAATGGCAGTTACGGCAGCTATACCATATGATAGTTATGCTTTATTTAATTTAGCAGTGTGCGTGGACAGTTATGTTTTGTACTGAATGGCAGTTATGCCATATGATATGACAGTCATTCTTTGTGGTGTTTTATTTAGGATTAGGGTGTATGTGGGAAGTTATGGCACGAGTTGTATTTGTCAGTTTCAGAACAGAGTAATATTATCTGTATGGAGATGTGAGTATCTGGGTCAGCAAATTCATTGCTCTAGGGTACAGTCTGTGTGTTTTGTATTTCAATAAACATTTCCTATTCAATTTTGAGTACCTTTCTGGTGTTCCATCAACATATCATTACTCAACTGTAATTTTATCCAATATTTAATTCAATTATTTTCACTATCCCTTCAGTATAACATGCTTGATATCATTTATCAGTCAGTATTTGTAAGCAACCAATTATTATGACTCAAACTTCAATTAGAAAGTAGCATTGCAATCATTTTAAAATAACAGAAAAAGCATTGCAATAAAATAAAAGAATGCTGACCTGTCATTCTTTGCATAAAGAGCTAGCATCATGCAGTAGCACATGACACTAGGCAGAATTCCTGAAGCTTTAATTTCTTGGAACTGCTCCTCACTCTCTTCAACAAGCCCAGCAGAGCAGTATATGCTTAGCACTGCTTCAAGTGTCAGCTCATTTGGTTCACAGTTTGCCTTTTCCATCTCAACATAAGCTTTTACAGCCTCTTCATGCTGACCTCCTTGCCGAAAAGCTTCAATCACACCATTGAACAAATGCACATCCCGTTGTAAACCAGACTCATTCAGCCTGAATAAAATTGCTTCCACTTCTTTGTACAATCCCCCCCTTGCACATGCATGAACAAGTGAACTGTAGGTCTCCACAGTTGGGTTGCTCCCAACTTCATTCATGGTGTTAAATGCAACTAGAGCCTCTTCATACAGTGCAGCCTGCCCAAACGCTTCAATTACCCCAGTGTAAGCCTTGGAACTTGGCACTATTCCTTTTTCATTCATATGAGATAAAATTTTCTTTGCATCTTCATAGAGCCCTCCCTTCCCACAAGCAAATATCAAACCCTCATAAGTCTCCATGTTGGGCTCAATGTTCTCCTCCACCATGTCATGAAACAAAGTGACTACTTCCTTAAAGTATCCACCCTCCCCAAATACCTGTATGAGAATATTATAAGTCCCAGCATCAGGGTCCGTGTTGCTCACTTTCATTTCAAGAAAAAGATCGCGAACATCATCATACCTCCCATGCTTCCCATACAAATTCAACAAAATACTATATGTGGCCGCATTCGGCACACACCCTGCAGCCTGCATCTGCCGAAACACCCCTATTGCCTCTCTAATGGACCCCAGCTCAGCATAAGCCTCTAACAGCACATTATACGAACTAATATCGGGCAAATTACCCCCTGACTCCATTTCCCTAAGAAGCTCAGAAACCTTCTCAAGCTTATTCAACCTACGAAATGTCTGAACAACATAACTATAAGTGTTAATATCAGGAACTACCCCGCCTTCATTCATCGTCCTAAACACCATTTCAGCCTCATCACCTAATCCCCTATGAGCACACGCACTAAGTAAAGTATTATACGTAATAACATCAGGTTGAACCCCTTCATGCCTCATTTCAGCAAACAACCCTAACAACCCCTCCCAATCCAAACCACCCCTAGCACAAGCATTAATCACAGTGTTATAAGTCAAAATACTGGGAGAAACCCTCTCCCGCTTCATTCTATCAAGAAGCTCAAGCGATGCCTGAAACTGACCGTTGCGACCATAAGCATTGATGATGGCGGTGTATGCGAAGACAGTGCGAACGACGCCGTTTGAGGGCATTTCGTCGAACACCTCGCGGCACTTATCGAGCAAGCCCTCTCTGCCTAAGAGAGTGATCATGATTGTGTATATATGTTCATTGGGTTTGCACCATATCTGACGCTGCATGTATTTGAAGAGTCGCAGCGAGCGTTGCCAATCGCCGCGCTGTGCGAACTCTTTGAAAACGAGCGCAAAGTCGTTGAGGGATAGCTTGTTCTTGAAGGGGTCGAGGCAACGGGCGATGCTGCCACGTGGCGCCAAGGTGATTAGTCTGTTGATTAGGGTTTCTACGTCGTAACTGTACTTTCCTTTTTCTACCGTCACCGACGGGTTTACTGGGATAAGTTCCTTGGAATTGGCACGTGCTTGGAAATGGAATCGCCAGTGAGGTTTGGGTTTGGAGAAGGTGAAGAAGAGGTGGCGGAAGGTGGTTTGGGGGCTGAGAAGCGTTGGGGGGAAAGGGGAAGGGTTGGGTACAGAGAGAGAGGGTGAAAGGGTCATTTCTGTTACGAGATCGTTTTCAGAAGTTGAGAAAACGGTTACGCAATGGCATGCTGTTGTTCAATGCGGATTCAGGTTGACATGAATTGAAAAAGTGTTGGTAGTTGGGTGGTATGGTTTTGGTTTCAGGGGGAGGAGGAGGAAGAAGATGGAGTGAGGAGAGTAAGCTTCGTCACTGAATTGAGAAAAGGCCACGTGTTGTTGTTCTTTGTGGATAACGGTCAGCGGAGTGGAAAACGCAAAATGGGAAAGTATTCGGGTTATTTGACCCGGATATGCGCGGATAGTGGAGCCCCAGTGATGCCGGGTTGCGGATTGAAGTATGATCCATTTTGAAGCGGGTGTGGACATTCGGAGCTATTGGTGGTAACGGATTTTCAAACAAAATTGAAGCGGGAGAAATATATAGAAGCTTTATGCGTTTTTCATACGCTATCTCTATGATTTATCTAATTTAAATGGCAAAAATGTATACGATGCATCTTTTGCACTCATGTTAATTCCTTTCCACAACAACACTGACAAGAGCTGTCAACCTAGGCTGAAGTCTACTATCCATCTCATTTGATTTCTTAAGCCATCTTTCATTTTCAAGAGATACATTTATAATAAATAAATTTAATTGCTTTTTTTTCCCTAAAAGTAGATTTTGAATTAGATTACGGATTATATTTATTTTTGTCATGATAACTTTAATTATTTTATTACTAGAGATTAAAAACCTAATAATTAACATCATCTTAAATAATATATAAAAACTAAACAACATACAATTAAAGAAAATAAATAAATATTACACTATCTATTATCTTCATAGTTAATAAAATTTGACCGGTTAAATAAAAAACTAATCAGGTAATGAATTTGATTAACTCAAAAAATTAGTGAATTCAAATAAGAATCAGCCAAAATAAATCAAATTGCACAATAATAAGTAAAAAAATTCATTTGCATAAAGAATATTTTTATTCTAAATTTTTAAAATAAATAAAAACTCATTCATCATATTTGTATTTAATTTTAATTAATTAATTATTGCTTATCTTATATTTTTAATAAAATTGATTTTCAGAATCTTATATTGATTTATTATTTGATATAATATGAGCTTAATTTTAGTGTAATGTAATTATAAATATTTTTATTTTACTATTTAATTATAATATATTGTAAATACAATTTTCATATTAATTATAATAAAAATCAACAATAATACAATTCAATGACAGTATAATTATTTTTTACACTATCATTATATATTAAATTAATTTTATATTGTATAATATTAAAAGATATATTCTATTATTACCGGTCTAACCTTAAATCAATCATAATTAAATTAATGAGTTGTCAAATAATGTTTTCATTTATTTAAAGATAGGTCTGAATTTGAAATTTTCTGATTATTTAATTTCCATCACATCTTGTGCAACTCTGTTTATTTATTGTTTTCCTGATTAAATTTGATAAACTAAAATTTTATTTCTCTATCAAATTAATAAAATTCTTATCTTTGACAACACTTAACTAAAATAAAATTTTACATAAATCTTATTAAAATATATATATATATGATATTTGAGTAAAAAATACTCTCTCTTTTTAATAGACATGCACGTGGATTGATCCTGAGTATAAAGATTATTTTTTATAACTTTACAAACTTTTTTGGAGGTGTGAAATAAACGTACGTTCTAACAACATATCCAATGGTGACACATGTAAGTGCAATTAACCATAAATTTCTGTTGGATGAATATTTTTTTTTTTCATTGGCACAAATATTTTGTGTTCTTTATCTTCTTGCAATATTTCTGCATCTTGAATTGGAAATTACAAAAGAAAAAAAATAGTTTTATTAATAAAAATATAAACTTGTCAGTAAATTAATTGAAGCTAGTTAAAAATTTTAACCGATTGAAGAATATTTTCACTAAATTATATTATATACAAGTTGCATTGTTTTTTTTTACACTTATTAATTATAAATATTGCATAATATAATTGGACAATACGAAGGTAATCATACTGGTAAAGCTAATTGTAAGCACAACACAAAATTGTAGATACCGTTTAATTAGAGTCATAAATTAAAAGGTTAATTTTTTTCTAATTTCTTTTTAAGTGAGTTTTTAAAAGTTAATATTATAATATTTTGTAAAGACTATAAAAGCTTAATACCTATATAGAAAGTAAGTATCAATGATTAAAATATATTAAATAAAAATTCTTTCTTCTTCTCTCATTTTCGCTTTGAGATTTTTTTTTTTTAATTATGTCTCAATAATTTATTTTTTTTTGTTTTTCATTGCCAGCGTAAATAAATAACAAAATTTGTGTACTTGTCTTACTGTTTTCCATTTTTTAATTTTAAAAAATACTGTATCTGTAAATAATCGTTGCAAAATTATTTATCATTTTTCAAAAAAGTAACTGCGTTGAAGTTGCTGTAACAATTCTACCATCTTTTTTCTTTTTCTTTTTTAAGTTGTTTTATTTGTTTTTCTTGTATTTTACTTGATTATTAGTTATTGATTTTTTTATAATATTAATTCTATGGTTAGTTCAATATTAAATAATATTTAAATTAGCTCAAATCTTACATTTTTTTATATATTTTATAATATTTAAAATTGTTGATTTAATTGTAATTTATTAATTAAAACCCGTATGTTTGACCTTAGTATTATTTTGACAAAAATACCTATTGTAAAAAACTGTACTATCATATAAATTCTAAACAAAATTTCTAAAATCAAAAACTTATTTCAAAAAAAGTTGTCACTTATTGCTAATTTCAGGATTAAAACAATTTTGTTTTTACTTTTTTTATCTTACATAAATTAAGCTTCCCTATCCACTTAATTCTATTGTTTGAGTATAGTTTTTTTTCATATAAATTTTTTGAACATTTACTTCCAATTTTGTAATTTTGGTAAAAAAATTATCTTTTTATTTATCTTTTATCATTTTGTCTGATTCCTTCTTCTATTGTTTAATGAAGAGTTATGGAATTTTAATACAAACTACGAAAAGCGCTCTCTCCCTCTTCTTTTATAAAACAGTATTTAAAAAATAACACAAATGCATAAATGTAGAATAAATTATTGAATTATGACATACTTTTTTTCTCATTATTCGGTGGTTGATAAAAAAAAAGAAAATATTTTGTTGTATACATATGATTTGATATAATAAATATTAAAAAAGATGAGTCAGTTTGATGTGTTTATTATTACTTTAATTTCAAAGTTTTTTAAAATGTAAAATACCTTTGTTATTATATAATTACAAGAGAATAAATATATATTTAAAAAAAATCACTTAAAAAACAATAAACATTTGAAGTAATAATAAACACACCCAAAGAGAAAATATTATTTCTTTTGTACAGTGTTTATATATACCAACTATTTGGGAAGATAACCAAAATTAGGTCTGTTAAATTTGTTTTTGATCAACGGAGTCAGCTTAACTGTGTTGCGTCGGTTAAAAGTGAAAGTTCCAAACATGGGAATGGGATCCATAGTTTTTATTCGGTGGGAAAGGACAACCGTTTTCAGACGGAGAAAGAAAGTGGACCCCAAATTCCACCGCCCAACTGTCCAATTACGCTTCCCAAGGCACCACTTCCTCCAAAAATCAATATATTAAAGATTATTTCATATAAAAATTAACCAATTTTTATTTTAAATTATGTAATGTATTTTTAAATATATACATTTTCAATTTTAAACTTTATTATTTTCTTTATACAAATATAATTTATTTTAATGTGTAAAAATATACAATAACCAAATGGTGAATTTTTTATATAATAATATGTTATAAGAAATTAAAAAAATATGAGAGTATAAATATTATATTTATCATACGTATATTTTCTATATGGATAAAATTTTATCAATAAAAAAAAATATCAACTATTTCAATTTTATTACATTTTCAACATAAATTATATATATTAATTTTCTTCATCGATGCTCTAAAAATATTGATTAAAAATAATTATAAAAATCAAAATATTTTACTATTTATTTTTAATACTAATTTAAATTATTTGATACGAATACACCAGGTACTTTTATATCACTAGTCTATAAACACAAGGATAAACTCTATGTTCAACTTCTCATAAAAGATTTCGATAATATTAGGAGCTAACAATATTCAACACTTTTTTAATATAAGTTTTTATAATGTCAAACACTCGTAGAATAATATATGACTCTCTTTTTTTTTTTTATAAATGTCACTCGTAAATTTATAAATTTTAAAAAACTAATAATAAAAGTACTTATAACATCCCTCTTAGATAAACAAATGTAGACAACTAATCAAATGTAGGCATAGATTAACCAATACACTAAAAGCATTTTTTTTTTTTTAAACATTGAAAAGTAGCTACTATGTTAAAATAAAATATTCAATATTAACTTATTTGAGTCATTAAAAAAAACTCAGTAAGTATATTGAACGTTTGTTAACCAATGCTCTTCAAGAACCTGTTGACAATACGTGTCAATTTAATATCAATTGTATATTTTGCTTTTCAATGCGACTACTGTTGAAGAAACTGTTAAACAACGTTTAATCAGCTTCAATTTAACCGGCCCACAAAGTAATATTGGGCCTACAAAATTACTATATTGTCATTACATATATTTTTACTTACACTTTACATCTGTGAAGAAAAAATAAAAAACACTTTCACTTTACATTATTGTCTTGTATGAGCATCAACATTTTTTAATATCTCAGTACATAAAATATATACAATGTTATAAAAACATTATTATAAAGATTCATGATAATATATACAATGAGTGTAGCATATCTTTTTCTTTTGGGTAAAAGGAGAAAACAAATATTTTTTTAAATATTGATTATAGGAGATTCACCGCCTTTAGTGTTCACTTTAAATATTTAAAGATAATAATCATTTATTAAAAAATATATTTATTACATACACTACACTAGTGTGTAATAAACTTAGATGCTTAGACTAAGTTAAGTAAATTCTAAGAATTAAGATTAACAATACCATATGAAAAGCTCAAATAATTGTTTAATTAAAAAACATTATATTTTTAAAAATTGTATATGAATATGCATGTGCTATTTTTTGAAAATATAATATATATATATATATATATATACAAACAAAAGCAATATTTTTTTTAGAAAATTGCGTTTTCTTTTTTAATATATATATATATATATATATATATATATAAACAAAAGCAATATTTTTTTTAGAAAACTGCGTTTTCTTTTTTAATATTGTTTTTTAGTGTAATTTGTTGTCATCAGTATTTATTACAAAAATGATGTGAAAATTGAATGTTTTCTCAAAATTAGGTAAAAACCCTGAAAATAAATTAACAATAAATCTTTGTTCGAATGTAAGAAGAGAAAAAGAAAGAAAGAAATTTGATGATAATAAAAAGCAAAGGTAAATAAGTAAAAAATCTATTTAGCTTAAGATTTTCTTTTGTTTTATAAATAATTACAAAAATATTATGCTGTTTTAACTGTATGTCGTGTTTTAAAAAATACAAGTGTAAGCAACATATCAAACAAAAAAGGAAAAAAAATAATAAGTGAGTATTATTCTTACTTAAAAAAATTGTTTCTTTTATTTGACATATTGCATACACATATATGTGGGTGTTACTCTCACTTAAAAATTTGTTTCTTTATTTGATGTATATCATATATACATGCAGGGAATTGTATCTATTGAAACAAACATTTTCATACAATAGTAAAATGGACAAATTTATATTTTACAATCATAAATTTATTTTAATATTGACAAATCACAATAAATTTTAATAATTAATAATTTAATCGTATATCTCATATAATACACTCATAATGAGAAAACTTTTTTTTATTTGAAAGTAAATGAAATTTATTCTAATCATTAAAAATCATTTCCCAACTCTTAAATAAAAAATAACATTTTTATTTGACACATACTCACATACTGAGTCGAGATTCAACATGCTGGGTCAAACCCTACTGTGAATAGTTTTTCTTTTTTCATGCAGCAGATTTGACAAGAAGAAGGGTGAAAATGATACTAGAGAGTGAAGTAATTTGAAGGAACGATGCGTACACACGTAGATACACACTCACACACCTTGAGTTGAATTTGAAAGACATGATTCAACTCTAACCTGAGTTGTCTTCGTTCTTTTCTGGGGCAGAGTTGACGGGAAGCGAAATCATGGGTATTTTTAAAAAATATATTAAAAAAATTATGAACATAGATAAAATGCAAAAACTATAATTAATAGTATTAAAATAAATATAAATTCATAACTTTAATAACACTATAAGTTGGACGAGAAAGTAAAGTAACTAGAATGAACAACAATATGTATACTCGAAGATGGAGGGACATTATCCGTGTATAGTGAGTGCTGCGTATGATTTTCTCGAGGGTTGTGGAAATTGTGAGACAAAAGAAAAATGATAAATAGAATGAAAAGAAAATGTAAAAAAACTGTAAAATAAACATTATTCGTGGTTTCGACGGTTTGTTAGTTTTTCAATTAAATAATAAATTAATAACAAATTACGTAACTTTGTCAAAATTCATATATTTATTTTTCGTACTAAAACTCCCAAGATTATGAAATGCTCGTTGAGTTGGGATTAATGCCACAGCACGTTTAATACCAATTCCAAGGTAATTAGGCTCGACAATTTGAGATCATAGGTTTGGTGCCTAAACCTGTGTTAGAAAGACAATACCTAATTTTCATTTGTTGAAATATTTATTAGATAATCCCCAGAAAATATTTAGAATATAATTAGCCAACTAACAACAAATTGACAAGTCAATATAAAATGTGTGTTTAAACTTTAAATTATGTTTTAAAATTGAAAAAAAAGGAAGATTATTTAGTCAGTATTATCTTTCTTTCCAGAACAAAACGTGGGCGTTTAAGGGGGGTGCATAATGTGAGATGGAGTAGAAATATAAACGAGAGAAGAGAAAAATGGGGCCCACGCCGGTGTTACGGTTTGTGATTGCGACGTGGTAAATGTTATTACGCGGAGGGCAATCTGGTAATTAGGCATCGAGTTCCTAACAGACACACACAGCTACTACTGTGAGAAGACGAAGAAAAACAGAAATAAACTCCCATCCCATCATTCCCCCTCTTTAACTTCTTTCTGTTGTTGTTGGTCTCAAACGAAGCACCCAACACCCACTTTCTGATGCATTAGACAACAATGGAGGATTCCGAGGTAAACCGTTCCGTTCTTTTCTTTTTAACTGCTCCTCCCGCCGCCAACCGCGGGTTTTGCTTTTCTGTTTTGTACCAGGAAGTTTTATTCCGTTATTTTTTTTATTTTTTTTTGGGTTTAGGAGGAATGGCGGTGGTTGTTTGTGATTTGTGATGGGTTTAGTGTTTTGCGTTTTGATTTGCTGTTTTGCGTTTTGATCAGAAATTGACGGCGTTGAAGAAGGCGTACGCCGATATCATTCTGAACACGGCGAAGGAGGCCGCGGCGCGTATCATGGTGTCGGAGAGGAAAGCCACGCGCTTTCAGCAGGAACTTGTTTCTACTAAAGAAGAGGCGCTTCGGATGCTTCTCAGACTCAAACAAATGTTCGATTCTAAGGTCTTACAATCACTCCCCTCCAAATGGGTTCTTTTTCTTTTCTTAAAAATTCGTTCTTTTTCTGTTTCAAGCTTTGGGTTTTTTGAATTGGGGAGTTTTTGATTCGGAGTCTTGGCCTGGGTTTACCCTACTTATGCTTTGTGAATTGTGATGTTGGTTTCGTGTGTTTACTTACTCGATTGAGCAAGTTTCTTGTTGGTTTCCTGCTTCTCTTTTCTCTGGGCTAGTTTGGATTGTTGTTTAATTTATTGCATCGTTTTTATAGGCTTCAAAGTAAAAATTCCGATCAAATGGATGAGAGGAAAAAAGACTCTTTTTAATGAAAATGGATAATTGCTTTGTGAAGTTGTTGAAATACCTTGCAATAGCTTAAATGTGGATTACCTTTGTAATAGTTATGCTTGAATCGAAGTGTTTTTTAAATTTAATTTGTGTTTGTGATTCCATTTATATCATCAATGTTACATGTTTTAAATTTCCATGGTCAAAGAGTTCTTCAGAATCATTGCACTGTTGTTATCTTATGATTTTTCCATCATTAACAATTACTGTATTTTCATCTTTGAAATGCAACGTCATGCTGAGAAAGTTCTTACTTGGAATAATAAGGATTGACTGTTATTTTTATATAACTTTTTTGGATGTCACTGACTTGACCGTGGATGTAGGCATGATATATTAGCTAGATACTTTTTCATGTTTGTATATTTTTGCATGCTACACTTGTACCGTAGCAGGGGAATCATATAAAGACATATATATTGTATTCTTGTTTCATTTTTAAGCCCAAATTTGACTGTCGTGTAGCAAATGCAATTACGTTTCAACATTGAGAGCTAGCCAAAATTATAGCACACCCCACATACTCTCACAACAGTAATTTAACATGCCATCCTTGCAACTTCTATAACTGAATCCAAGCAATGAAGTCCTCCGAGTTAAATCATTTCTGTCTTGTCTCTTATCTGCTGTTTTTTTTCTGATTAATGTCAATTTTACAGGTCAGCGAAGCGGAGCTGACATCATTGAATCAGCAGAAGAAGATTGAGGAGCTTGAAGCCCAGCTACAGGAAGCTGAGGAAATAGTTAGAGACCTAAGGGCAGAGTTGAGAGAAACCCAGGCTGAGCTGGAGAATGTGACAAAACACCAAATGCATCCCCCAGTTGCACAAAACATGGAGAGTGAAGTTGCAGCTCAGCAAAACATAATGCAGGAAAACAGACTTGATCATTATGATGGATCTGTATATTCTGCTTCTGGTTTACAGTTTGAATCTGTCTCTATATCTGACTCTAGGAATCCAACTGTAACTGGAACAAATGATAGCAGACAGTTCTGTGTGTCACATGATCCTACAAACAACTGCTACATTCATAACCCAGATTTTGCATCCATAGTCATTAGGAGGAAAGAGCCTGAGCTCTACAGAAATGGATGCACTCAGAGAATACGCGCATTTGAAAGGAGTCTTTTTGATGGAAATATGACTGTTTCAGGAAATTTAGATAATGTACAGGATGAAGCTTTAGTAAGTGTACACGAAGAAGGTAAAGTGATGGCTGTAACAGCTAATGCCAAAGCTGATATTGTTTGTGAAAAGGAGAAACTGGATGAACTTAAAGTGGTGAAAGCAGACACTGACCTTGTCAAAGTTCCAGTTCATAGAAAAAAGAGAAGATGTAGGATAAGGAAGGCTACTAAATGTAGATTACATTATAACCTGGTTCAGGAAACAAATAAAGAATCATATCTGTCTTGTGTGGAAGATTCTCCACTTGTAATGGATAAAGATGACCCCTCAAGGGTGAGTTCTTCTATGGCATATGAAAATGAAGCTCAGAAGGATCCAATGTCTTCTTTTGCTGATGTACCCACAGACACAACTGCAACAAATGAGCAATCAGGATCTCACAGCAATACTGAAAATGGGGAAGTATTTCTTAAAGCTTGCAGTGCTTGGAACAAAATTAAAGATGATAAGGAACCTTTGGATAAATCAGATTTGACCAGACAAGAGAGTTTGTCCACTGAAAGTTTAGAGGTTCCGGCTAGTAAAGATGTTGAGGCATCTAATCGGTCACTGGATAAAATGGATCCCAAAGTATCTGACTTAGATGAGAAGGTTTTTAGCCGATCTGTAAGTGATAAGTTTAAGTACACATTCCGGAGAAAGCGTAAGAAGGAGCCTGTTAGCAGTGATGATGTTGATTGCTCTCAAGATAGTAGCAGTTCAAAGAAAAAGTTTGGAGAGAAGCAAGATGGTCATGTGGAGCCTCAGAAGTCTTGCACAATGACTGAATCATCACGGGACAGCCGGCGACTGGCACAGGTTGCTCGTCAGGTTGGTGATAAATATATGAATGTTTTTTTCCAACTTTCACTGTTTTTGGGTATGCAACCTGTTTGCCTGTCCATTCATGTACAAACTTTGTGATTGCAACACCTTGTACTTTTTAATGCATTTGGTTCTTTTCCCGTGGAGCTTGCTTTAACTGGTTTATTATAACTACATAGCTGTAAGAACTTTTTATTGACATGCTTTACACTGGGAGATGGAAAATAATAAATTCCATCACGAGGTTAATAGTCATTATCAAAATAGAGTTAGTTTTTTCACTATTATACTTACTACAGAGATTAACATTGATTTAAGCAGGTATGTAATACCCATCATCATTCTTCCATATTATCTATGTAGGAAAGTTTGAATACACATATTTATAATGTAAGCTACTGAATCTTCTGAAAGGATTAACATTAATGCTCTTTTAAAAGATAAACTAGTTAATATCAGTTGATATTGATATTTCAAGAAAAATAAATCATTGTATTAATTTCTGTTTGTGTTTTATCATTGCAAGTTGAGAAAAAAACCACTTTTGGAAGTATCTCTTCTCCTATTTTTGAGCTGCACCAAATATAAATCATTTCTTAATTTTAATTCTTTTTTCATTTAGATGGAAGAGATTTACAAGACTCTAATCATACTCCTACAATTGGTAAAGAAAATCCTTGACTTGATGATCGTAATTCTATTCAAGTTCTTATTGAAGTCCCTAGTTATTCCTCAAATCCTTTCCATTCTCCCTTTCACCAGCTGCTCATCTCATTTCTCATGATTATTGTGGCTTTCCAATACCCAAGTAAAGACTCTTCTTACGACATATGGGGAAGAGTGAATCATGGTTGTATACTTGTATGTATAATTGGAAAATGTTTAATATTATGGTGAGTGAATCACTCGAATCTTGCTGTAGAAAAATCTCATTCAAAGAATCTTTCATAACTTCAGGGTTATGGTCAGGCTGTTAGGGTAGTTAACAGAGGCATTTTGGTAGCTATTATGCCATTGCGGCATGTTGCCTGGCTTCATTGTGATTTTGTACTTATCACGCCTTATTTTCTTGGAGTGGCCAATGTGGCTCACTGTTTCTTAATCTCCAAATCAAGGGAGCATGGTGCACCCTTTTTTTTTGGAAATTTTTTTATGATTTTTGATATGGTCAGAAAGGTTTTAAGGTTGGAAAACTTCTTGTTTAACCAAAATCGTTTGCCTCTCCATTTGGTTTCAGTTTCAAAAACCATCCAACCATACCCCTTTTCACCACTGCAATTCTTCTATCCATGGCCTTTTTTCAGCAACCCACTGGCATTCTTTGCTCTTTGCAGCAACTCCCTCCTCTCTTTTTTCACAGGCCGGTGCTCTTCAAGCCATCCTTGGTTCTTTATTTTTCCTTTCTTTTTTGCTGTGCTGTGTACGTAACACTTTTCAGCCCTTTTTTTTACACCCCATGATTTCATTCCCCTATTCATTCACACTTCATGGCCCATGTTTTCCATTAATGTCATGACATCATCTTCCTTTTCTTTTGACTTCATTGCTCTTCTCAGCCATGGCATCATCTTGGAGATGATGTTTCCAATTAAGGTATATCTATTTGAAAGTTCAATATATTTAAGATTCAGAGGCCTATGCTTATTTAGGATTCGGTGCTTTAATTGATTTATTTTTATATTATATTTCTTGACTTTTGTTGTTAATGACTTGTCAATTACACCTTAGAATGATGCTCATTGTACCTAGAATCTAGACTATGATTTTAAGGGTGAATATGTCTATAATTTTTGAGAATTTATATATCCATAATCTTACACTATAGCAGACATCCAGCTCTTTTACCACTATCCAGGATTGACAGCTATGGTTCTGGTTTTTGAAAAAAAATTTCTCTTTATGGAAATCCAAATCCAGTTTTCTTGCACTATGATTGTTTATTCTGGTGAAGTTTCCTCTAATTGCATTTGTTTCTACGAATGCCACTTACTGATTTTGCAATCTATTCATGTCTTGTATGTCTATTCATGCAAGCCTTTTATGAACACCCCTAGTGTTTCTTGACTCTAGAATAAGATAACAATTAACTGCCAGTGGTGTACTTACCCATCAGGTATATATGGTGCACTTATTCTGCTCTAGCTATTATTAGACTGTCAAAAACACAAGTTTTCATTCAGTAAGCTTCACAATTTTTGGTTCGAAATTTGACCCATGTCAAATGATACTTATCCATAGACTTCAATCTCTCTTAGCTTAGTGTAGCTATGTGTTTCTCTTGGCTCAGAATTGTATTTTGTCAAATGCAATTTGAGTTTCACTGATTGTTTCTTGATTTGTGGATCTTAAATATCCTCTTTCCTTAGTTTTGTGTCAGATTGTAACATTGATTGACTGCTGCTTTTGCTTGATTCTATGATTTTGGCTGTTCTTTGATTGTTTTTTTCACTAAATGTATTTCAAATGGAGCACCGGTTATTCTGTTTTTTTTTTCATAGAAAGTAGTCATATATTTGCTAGAATCATGAATATACTGACTTGAATTTTTCAGACGATGTTGTATTATCTTCCTTAAACCAATCTTGGCACCTTGCTCTTCATTCTTTGTTAGTGTAAGATTGGGCTTGCCCCAAGGATCTGCAGAAGTTCTTGTATCAATTTTAGATATTTTGGACATGCTAAAAGGTTTTGGCACTGTTCTCTATTTGCAGCTGTTTAGCGTATATGGCTGGAAAGAAATGCAAGACTAGTTCACTGTAGTGTTGCCTCTTGAGTTCATTTTGGATTGAGTAGGTCACTAGGCTTCTTTTGGTGTTCTGCTATTGGTCTTTTAGGAATTGTCTTTGGTAGATCTATGGATAGATTGGTGTGCTGTGTTTCATGTATTTGTTCTTAGTGTTTTTTTACCCTTTCATTCTCTGTTTAGTTTTTGAGGATTTCTTATCCTCTAGCATTTATATCTTTCTTTTCTTAATAATTTCTTTGTTTATAAAAAAAAGCCTATGCCCACCATTTTGCTTTAAGTTGCTAGCATTGGTTAAATGCTAGCAATGATTTGGGTTCAATCTATCATTCTGGCTATCTCTTCATCTTAGTTTTATGTAAAGCATGGAACTCCAGATGCACTAACCTTCTTCATAGTAAAGAAGTCAGAGATTCTATACAGTGTACTTGAAATTTTCACTATACTTAATATTGCATTCCCCCCCCCCCCCCCTTTCTCCTCTTCCAAAATAACGTAGGCACCTGGCTCTTCATTATACTCCCCTATGATAGAGTGATAGACGTGTATGTGTGTGTGCAAAGCAAAACTGGTGGCCTGATATGAGCTTTACTCTCCCTGCTTGCGGCTATATGGTTTTATTTTGTGGTTTTCTCCTTGTTTCTTCCAGCAATATAAGATTGTTTCTTCCCTGGAAGTTAAATACAATTCTGATTAAAACAATATTTAAATCTGTATTAGATATCTGAACTTTTGTAATGCAATTTTTGCTTTTATTAAAAATATGTCCAATGTCAGCTAGATTATGTTATTGTATGTGTTAATCATTCTTCTAGTGAAGTTTCATATCATATTCTTGCCTGTGAAAGTGAGCTTCTCGATGACCTTGAATTAAGTTCATCTAACTTCTAAAACAAGAATTGGTGAATAAGCGGAATAGCAAATATAAATATATATTTGAACTGTGCATTGCACATGTTTAAGCTTTAAATGGCACCACAAGATTTGCCTGATAGTAGAAGATGTTTGTTATAAAAAACTAAAAAACTAAGGTACGAAGCTGACATGTTTCTTCAATTTGGTTTGCAGCTTATATCGTTGTCTGAGAAGAAATGGTGGCAGTAGGGTCTATTGCTATGATGAGTGGGTAGTATGAGAAGAGTACTCAAGGCACAGTCCAATGCGCTATTGATTCAGGAGGTGGCGTTTTAAGGATGCTTTACTTTGGTAGAGCTGTGGAATGTGTTAATAATATATTATTACTATATATCTACTTTTCTTTCATCCTTAGCTTAGAAATTGCTAACATTATATTCTAGAGAAACATAAATTATATATGCTGTTGCTACCCTTTTCTGGGGTCCTGTTTGCAATACAAATTTTGCTGATTATATATTTATATTCGCGCGTCAATGATGCTTGCTTTTTCATTATTTTTCCTTTCGATAGTAGGCGTCCTTTTTTTTTTTTTCCTTCTTTCTTTGCTTGCCTATTTTGCTTTAAAATATTGCACAATCAGGCTGGCTTTGCTGACCTGTTGCTCATAACCATAGAATCAACAAAAGGCAGATAATGGGGTCTAAATTATTAGCTTATGTTGGGGTGATATTTCAGAGGGTTTGAATCCTGTTTTCCTATGTTTATGTAAGTAAAGTGATAACGACACTGGTGAGGAAAAATAAAAAAGACCCGAAGTAACTTGTGTAAATTTGTAGACTCTTGCACATATATTCTTGTATAGAAGAATTGGAGTAATCTTGAAATTGCAAATACCAATGGATTTAGTTCTTAAAGTTACAAAATTGTTCTTTTAGTTCTTATTCTTATAATTTTAGACGCTAAAATAAGTTATTTGGTAAATTTAGGGAATGATGATATTTTTATAATTTTAGAAATGTAATTTATCGGTATTCATAATTGTATGTATTAATTTGATATGTTATTCGATATCTTCTCCCTAGACGTTGATTTATCTCATTTTATTTTTTATGTGCTAGAAAGTGTAGGAAAAAAGGGATCTGATTAAAATAAGAGCACGACACACAAGTACCAACTTATTATTCAAATCAAAACCTCTGTCAACTTGTTTTGATCATTCCTTATTGGCTGACCTCGTTAGTTAAGCTTCTAGCAACAATTTAGGTACGTTCACTTCTATCGATCTATGATTCGTTAGTAAAAAAAAGTTAAGTGCTGTTTAACGCTCAATCAATCACGCAGTCGGTGACTCGGTTGTGTCTGCCCTTTTCTGTGTGCGTTCTAATTTTCAATTATATGAATGAAGAATTTTATACTTAAAAGAGAAATCAAAGGCTGGAAGTCTCGAACGTTTTACCAGCGTCTCCCTAAAAAAAGATTTAGGTATAGTGACAATTTGGTTGTCAATTTAGTTTGTAATTACTGTCCATTTCCTCGATTAACCAATACTTCTTCTTTCAGCAATTATATATATAATCTAAGAAAAATACGTAAACTAAAATAAATTATTAAATCAAAAATAAAGTATTTACTTTTCAATAAATTATAAAAATAATTATTTTATAGGTAAGAGAAGAGAAAATATTTAATAAAAGGAAAAAACCTGTCACTCAGTGATACCAAATGTATGTCAAAATTTCTATAATCTTATGTAATTTCAATGTAAGAGCATAACAAAATATATGAGCGATATACTTAATTCATGAAAATTATAATATATATATAAAAAGAGAGATTAAATTATACTAATATAAGTTATATTTACTTTTATATTGATAATAATTTAATATAATATATAATTTTATTGTTAAACTATAATTATATATTGTCTTATTATTTGTGTTAGATTTTGTCTAAATGAAACAACTATAAATATGTAATTAAAGAGTCATTATTTTCATATATTTCAAAAATGTAGTATATTAATTTTTATATTTATAAATCAAATATTAAATACTTTTCCATTGATCTAAAATTTTGTAAATATAATTTATGTGATTAAAATTTTTAATCTAACGGTTAGTTTTAAAATTAAATTGTTTAATAAAAATTATTAAACAATGTAACACTATTATAATTTGATTCCTTCTCTTGCATAAATAATATAATCATTTGTATCATTGAATTAAATTGGAATGTCATGGTTTCATGGGATAACTCAATTAATTAATAGAAAATATAAATCATAAACTAATTAATTATGAATTATGTATTAATTTCTTGATTTGTCTAAGAGTAATATTTTTTAAAAATAAATTATATATTGTTATATTTATATACATATTATTACTTCAATTTAATATATATATATATATATATATATTATGTTTTTACTATTAATATCATTATAAAATTTTAAGACAGAGAACAAACCTACAAGAAATAAAAAAACTATACAAATAGAATAAAAGCATAAAAAGAGGGCAAGTGCAGAACCCTAGCGAGGTTGAGTTAGAATGGGAATAGCAGGTAAAATCGGGGATTATGCTTTCAAGGCATTCACAGCCACTCTCGGATGCGCCACTATTTACCTCACTGCAACCTTCTCCGTCAATGTTTACAGAGGCCTTGCTTGGCACAATAATCAATCCGTATTTCCTTTTCTCTCTCTTCATTTTCTTTGTTCTTCGCTATATCATTTTTTTCGCTTCAATCAATCTACGTTTTCTGGATTGTGCCTATGTTTAATGCTCTTTGTTTTATGCCTACGAATCAATGATTGTGTTCGAGCAATTAAAAGCTATTTTAATATTTTAGTAAGTTTTTTTTATAAATTCTTAAAAACGCTCCCACAATCATTGTTACCTATTAAAATTAAATGATCTGTTAAGTTTCTCTGCAATGCATTTGTAATGATAGTGAATCTCGTGTCAAGTCTGCGATTATTTGGATGCGTATTTTTCAAATGCTGCTGAATGTGTAGCCTTAATGACTATGTGTTGGATTAATTTATGGATTTGTTATTATACTGTGATATTACTGGCAAATTTCCTTGAGCAGTATGTTTATGACTTTACCTAAATTTTGGTGTTTCTGTGCAGAAACTTGACAAACAAGAAGTTGATGAGCAAGCACCATGAATTGATCTCATAAGCCCACCTTTAAATTTCAGATCATGATGTGCAGAAATATAATGTGAGAGTTTCTTTCTGATAATTTTTAACTTGGTTGGCCAATAATTAAATGGCTCATCACGATTAATAAGTTGTTTACTTATCGAAAGTAGATAGATATTTTATAGATTGTACTTATCCATTATTATTTGTTTACGTGTTATGTGTTTGAAGACTTACTTGGATCTACTTCTGGTCATATATGAGGGTAGATAATGGAGTTGTATTGAGGATATTGATTGGCCGTTTTGCAGTCTAGTTTATTTGAGATGAAAAAAACTTTTCTCTTTTCTGAAGCTATTTTATGGTTTTCCTTTCATGCATTTTTCGCATCAATTTGTTTTTATTCTTAAGTTAATATTGTATTATTCCATGATATTGGTGGTTTCTCGGATTGACTTGAATCACTATTTATCCTATTCTGGTGGTTATAGCTATTCGTGGCAGTTTTTAAAGTTTAAAAATACTTTTTGGAACATTTTTCTTGAACTTAGGCCTTGTATAAATCTGCTATAAACATATATTTCGTCTGTATGGCAAGAAGTCTCGACTTCTTTTTGCTCCTTTTGATCTTTATATATTTTCAATTTTTCTTTTAAGTTTAAAATTTTAGGCGATGTTTGTGCCACCTATTTAAATGTCAAATTAATAAATATAAAATCAATTATGTTTGGAACAGGACAAACTTATTATTCTGTTCTTCTGTGTACGGAGTAGAATTTGGCTAGGTGTGAGATTATAACCATTAATTGGAAAATTAATGGTGAAAATTTTAACTATTTCATAATTAGTTATGGACAGGCTTGTATTTTTTTAACAATTTTAGAAATCCCAACCGATAAAAGAGAGCGCGACAACAGCATAGATCACATCAAGTTTGTTGGCATATTCGGCGTTTATTGAACTATCTCCCAACCCAAATGCCAGAGCAGATAATAAGCAACTTAACGTCTTACTATCTTGTGACTAGTTGGTTTGACACAAGTATGACGCCCATTATATTTTGAATCTCCCATTTGTTTTAGTGGAAGCAAGCCCAATAATATTTACAAGGGGGAATTTTCTCCTTCGGTTTAACGTTCCTTGTAACTGGAGAATGCCGTGGTTGAGAATCGAATAATAAGCGCTCTCTTAAGATTGCAAGAACGAGAATTCTTTACAATAGTCTTATTTGGGTGAAATTCTAAAGAAGTTATAATTATATATATAAATAATGAATAAAATTTCTTTCATAAGTTAAAAATAATTTATTTTTCAAATTTCAGAGAAGTTAAATGAGAGAATTTTTTTAAAAAAATGGAGAAATATAAGTTGTTTTTAACTTAATAGAATAAAATTTATTTATTTTTTATGGGATTTTTTTCCTACAAATTTTTTTTTTCTAAAAGTCTACCGAAAATTGATTATGTCCATTTCTGCATAATCACCATCATTCAAACTTATCACTTCACCTTCACTCTTTCATTGGGAGCATGATTTTCACTTGTTTTAAAAAATGCATCCTTGATAAGTGGTTATTCCTTTTTCAAGTTCAGCCCAATTTTTTTTTCCTCAAGCATTGTATAACTGTTGGTGTTCAAGCTAGGCGGCTCAACCAGAGTAACTAGGAAGTATATAAAATGTCAGGGTGTTTTATAAATTTTATTTTCTTGGTGTGTGAGCAAGGATCATGGTTCAGGTAGAGTAGACTAACAAACTTAGAACTCTGTTTCAGAGGGACCTTAAACATCCACATCTTACTCGTTTCACCTTGATACGCAATTCCATTGAATTCAAGTTAGGTATCGTTCATAGCAATCCATCGTGGAAGCAACATCGTCATCATCTTCTAATTGAAGAGGTGGTATCATCTCGTTATATAAAACGATTTACATAACATTTGACACATTTATTTGCTTGGAATTTGGATTCAGATTAATTTTTTTGTTTTTCAGAAGCTTAAATTTGTAGTACGTTCAACCGTTATAGGTTTAGGGTTGGTTCTCATCTCCTAGCAAAATGCCCGACATAAGCGAAACAAATAACAAAAAATATAATAAATTCATTTTCTCTTTATAAAAGTAAATACGTGTATGATTTCACCACATTTTTGTAATATTTTTTAAGTTACATCTTTGTCAACTTCAAATCTGTGTTTTATTTAAAAAAGAAAAAAGAAAAAAGCAGCAGCATAAGATTACATATCTTTCATTACTTAGTATAATATATAGAAACTTCTATCAATTGAGAGTGTCTAATCATTAATTAGTACAGCAAAATGAAAATTTTCCTCAAAAGTGAACTTTTAAAAATAGATTACCGTTGGCATTCACAAAAAGGAGCATAATTTATTAAATTATTATTCATTTGCAAATCCAACTATCAAAGCGACAGCCTAGAAAGCACTGGAGATGGGGTTTGTACATAATAATCATATTGTATCATTTTCCTTCGAAATATTTTAGAAGCCGAATCTTGACTGGGTAAAGAAGCTAACAAGAGGCACGGGTGAGAGGGCACAGGAAGAATAACATAGAATATAAGCATTGTTATCCAGCGATGAAATGCCGGGAGCGAAGGCCAGTGTAGCGAGTCTAGTGACCCCTTTACATAAATGGAAAACATTATACAACGCGATACTTGATCATAAATTTATAAAGTAAGCAGCTTGTCACTCCTCTATACATATACAAATTCACCCGTTTTGAGAATAGTGAGGTATTTAGCAGCAAACTCACTCCAATCTGCTGCTCGTGTCCAAGATTTATCATGAAAATGCAAATTAAATTCTGCGCTAAAACGTAGAATGTATGGTCTATAGCCAGCTTCTCGCCTTCTTCACCAGTAACAAGATTACGTGGAATATCTTCGAGTAACACAACAAATTTATATATTCTGATTAAATCCTAGTCACATTTCCCCGGTCAAGGGGTCCTTCCTTCATCGCTGATTGAGAATCGAAAGATCAAACTTACATTCTAGATCATCATGCAGCATATCTGCAAGAGAATAAGAAAAACGGGAAATAAATAAAAGGGCATACGGGTTAGAGTTGCATCAATTGGTATCATTTATCTCCAAATTGCATGCTAATGAGTGAATGCCTTATCTAGACGCATTTAGAAAGCTAACCTGCTTTTAAACTAGCTCCGATGTAGCAAAATCCCTCGAATCAGCATGAATCTCTGCCAGTGGATTAGTGATGAAGCCACCATCAGGCCCATATCTGTTTTTTGACAACCTAGTTTCAGCGTTCCTGTCAGCTTGGTAGTGTATGGCTGCAAATGACGGGGAACCGCCAGATCTAGAGAACCGCGAGATTGAATGCCGGCCCTGTGTTTTTCTCCAGAATTTGGAGCTCAAAAATTCTGCTCCAGGTAGCAAGCAACATGTGTTGTTACCGGGAGCATCGGATTTGGTCATCCTTCCACTTGTTATAGCCAAATCATAAGAGATCTCATCCAATGCCAACTCGAGACCATGTACACGGGTCTCTAAAGAACGCATTCCATTTTGCGAGCTTCCCATGAATTTCTGTAACAATTTGGAGGAGTACGTTGGAGATGTTTGACATTAAATAACTGGCACAAATGCTACATGTACATAAAAAGAAAGGATGAAGTTTAAACACAATGACACTATTAACCAGCCTTCCTTCCGAAAGTTTGCAAACTTAAGCAGCTCAGATAAAAGAGATATTGATTGAAGGTACTTGGCGTTGAGCATTAGGAACAAACCTGCAGAAGATCAAGTAGACTTGACTGTTGCTTCTCAATCTGATGTAGCTGATTACGGATCAGCGATAAATCTTCACTCTCTTTGTCACTCCTATGGAGATCTTTAGTGACTATACTGACGGGACCCGTGTCTTGACTCTCTTCATGATATGGAACCACACGAGATCCAGCTTTGGACCCACCATACTTCTGTATTTTAACATCAGAGTTTTTATTTAGCGGTGCCCGTTTCATTTCTGGCTTTAAAAATCTGCTTTTATCCATTTTGCTTCTTCCCAAAACAGTTCCCTCTCTCTCCTGAAGATCCCCCTTATCAGCCATGGCCGCGGAGGATGCATTAGACATGGCAATTTGAACATCCCAATTCTTATGGTTTAATTTTCTGGAAACAAACGAACTCATTCTCTTGTTACTACTTGAAGCACTTATATTCTTAGCATTGCTAGCAGAAGAACTATCTGCTGGACTGAATCTGCTAAAAGGAGTGGATTTCTTCCGAAAATTGGCCATTACTGAACCAGGACTACATAAATTTTTAGAAACTGGGGGATAGCGCCCATCACTGGCATTCTCTGAGCCAAATGCACAAACCCAAAGAGACGTATGAAAACCAATCGAAGACTTAACAGATTAATCATATACAACCAAACAGAGAAACTGCAAGATAGCCCAAATAAACTTTATTTGACCATAATACTGGATTTATTTAAGATCGAACAATCCCAGGTCGACCATCATCTCTTCTTGTTTTAGCTTTATCTATCATGTTTTCCATTTTAAGGCTCAATAAAGAACATAACACGATCAATGTTTCTATTACTGTAAAGAGATCTAACACTTGCAATCTCAGATTCTTCAATTAAACACTATACAACCAAAATGGCAAAATCAAATACCTTTCGAAGAAGATTGCGATTTAGGAGGTGGCGAAACTTCGTCCGAAACATCAGGAATCTGCTTCCACGCTTCCAACATCTGATTCATAACGTCCCGAACTAACTTTACCTAAAGCAAATAACACCACCACTTTCAAATTACTACATATAAACACCAACAATTTCAGAAAACAATTAAGATAAATCTAAACATCTTCTAACCTTATCAAATCGTCGATTCTCGAAAACTTTCATACACTCAGCCTTGAATTCCGACAAGAAATTCCTCTCCACGTTGGCAAGCACCAATAGCGTCTCCGCCGCAGCCTTCCTTGTCGCCCAGTCATCGCTGCTCAACGACTCCACCAAGCGAGGAACCAAACCCCTCAAAGCCGCGTGGCTCGACGCGCCGCCGGCCTCGATGACGCTTCCGATGAGCGTCAACAGCGCCGGCTTCGCCTTGAACCCGTCGCGCTTCAGAAGCTTCTCGAACCTTGGCAAGAGTTTCGCCAGCCTGGCCGGGTCCGGATCCGGAGCTCCGTCAATCGCTAAAACCAGACAAAGCGCCGCGCCAATCTGAGCATTCTGGTCCTGCTCCGTGAACAGCGCCTCCGTCAACGGCTTCAAAAACGAAGGAAACGGTTGCTTGGTGACGTGGCACGACAATGCCGAAACCGAACTCACGCATGCGGATCGCACCGACGAGTCCGGGTCACGGAGTCGCCGAACAATGCTAGCTAGAATTTTCGAAAGGTAGGGAGAGAGAGCATTGCCGTGCGTCTCGGAGAGTAACCCTAGGAGTTGAACGCATTGCTTCCGAACCGGTGATTTGTCTGATGCATCGGTGGAGTACATGCAGGAGAGGAACACCGGCACGGCGGTTGCGTCGAGGTTCCGAGCGATGGACTCGAGCTCCGTGGCGGCGAGGGATTGCGTGTCGCGGTCGGAGAGTTTGGTCAGGCACGTGAAGACTCTCTGCTTTATGTCCTGCGGTGACGACATTGTGTTTCTGATGATGCCGGAGTTGGCAGCTGCGGTGGCGGAGTGCTTATGGTCGCGGTGTTACTTCCGGCGACATCGCCGGTGAGTCTAGTTCATTGGGTTTTGCGTGGGACTGAAACGAGGGAAGCGGTTTTATGTGCAGTTGCAGGGAGTGAAGATGAAGAGAGAAACGGCGTGTCGTTTTCTTGTTATTTGTGCGAGAAGAGCTGCGGAACCAGAGTGTCGTATAGATGATCGGGACGTGGTTTGGTTTAGTGAGGTGTTTTTGTTTTTTAGTTTTCTTTTATTATTTAACTTCTCCTTTTTTTCACTCTACTCAAGATCAGGTTGGGTTCGCTTTCGTGGTGCTGACTTATGATTACCGAATAAGATATCGAGACATAACTGGAATTGGGAATTCCCAATCTTGTCTTAATTTTTGGTCAAGTCATGGTATTTACGTAAAGTAGGATATATCAGATCAAAAAGTCTGCCAAATTCATTAATTTGATAAATAAAATTATTATATGTTTTTAGTATTTTTTTGCCAATGCTTGTCGAATACACTTGTTTTTAAACTGGAAGAGAGAAAAATAAATAAAATTCCAATGTCATAATTAAAATGTGCATCGTAGCTAATGTAGCGTTGAAGGCATCCGATTTTTACTCAACAGACCATTAAAAAAGGCGATTTGAAAAGTCTTCCACATGTACATCTTAAATGCTCTCACTATGATTATAGTGACCTAACACCCCAATAAAATGGATTCACGAAAAACGTCAATGGCGTAAAGGGAAGAGTGTTATAATCAGGATTGTGTATTCCTGCAGAAAAGGCACATGAGAGGAAATTAATGAGACTTGAAGGAGGGCCTGCTCTGTGAGTGTGAAGAGTGTTTTTGTGTTGCAGGGAATAATCAATCATGCCTTATGAGTGATGACGTTCAGGTCTAACATTGTTATTGAGGTGTCAGATTGTCAGCTGAAGATGTCAGGGCATTATCATTCAACAGTTATTATGCTCTTTTTTTTTTCATTATAAGTATTTTTTATTGAAAATAATTATCTTTAAATTAAAGATCATTCTTTTTCTATGAAATATTTTTTAAAATGTTTTTTATTTTTTATTATCATTTTATACCAAAAAATTAAAATGAATATTTTTTCATAAAATTAATAATTAAAATAATTGATATTTATATTTTGAAGAATTAAAAAAATAATTGACTTTATCTAATTGTATGCTAGTCTTGAGATATAACATGAAATTTTGAACCATGAATCCATCCATAAAACATGACAAGAAATAAACGTTAATTTACATTGTATTTTATCAGAAAGCTAGACGTCTGGCAATAATCCTATGATGGACATGGAGATTAAGGAATTATATGGTCTTTTTAAATGAGAGATTGTTTCTTCATTATGTTCGCATGATGATAGTGGTGAATAATGCCTAACAAAAAGTGTATCATGAAAAGAGAAAGATTTAGTTGACTAATGTACAATGGTGTTCTCCATAGTCTCCTAAGGTGAAAGTGAATGTTAATGGGAGTTGTATTTATAATTTGAATGTAAGGATATGAGTGGAGTAGTCTGTAATGAAGTTGGGCGCTAAAAGTGTAGTTTTTCTAGTAGTGGTAAGTCTGGTGACTCTTTATGGACTGAGTTATTAGCTATTGAAAAAGATTACATCTTTGTTGACAAGAAAAGTTTCACAGAGTTATTTGTAAATCAGACTGTCTAAGAGCGGTGAAAGTAATTCAAGATTTTTAGATAAACAAAAATAATACTCATAAGCATAAGAATAAGAATATTAGTCAAAGAATAAAGATATAAAAATTTAGGATTGGAATATAAACTTTATATGCATTTCTAGGAAATCCAATTCAGTGCATAATTTGGTTACTTTGAGGACTAATCATTTAAGTACAAATATAGTATGGAGGAATCTTCCAAATTTTGTTTTAGTACCTTTAAAAATTAATCTTAGATTATTCTCATAGTTGGTTGGTTTTTCTTCTATTTGTTTAGTTTCTTAATATTAAAAAAAAAGTTAATTTACAATATTTTATTAACACACTTAAATGTTATAAGTTATATATTGTGTATTATATATATATATATATATATATGATAAAAATACCTAAAAAATTAAAAATAAAATTAATATATAAACTATAATTAGTAATATTAAAATAATTATAATTTTATAGATATTTTAACGAGAATCTAAACGGATTCGATTTTTACAGCAAAAATTCAGCCGTTAATAAAAGATTATAATATTTTATAGTTATATCCAGCAGACAGAGATATCGTGACACGCTAATTTTTTCGCAGAAGGGGCAGGAAGGCTACTGAGAATCCAAATTCGAATCTAAACACATAAATTTTCTGCAGATATCAATATTGAATAGAATGTGAATATCGTTGGTGGCATGAAATTGGGATCGATATAGCACCATAGTAGAATTCAGATTAGGGTTAGTGATCTTAATTTCAATATCACACTAATCAAGCCTGTAAAAATATATTTATGAATTTGTACGTATCACAACTAAAACAAAAGAGGGAAATCTGGTTAAACCAATTTAGTCATGAAGGTCGTGGCCATTACTCATTTTCGGTACGGATTGTGAGAAGTGGCAGATGTTAGGACCCATGTCCTTTGTTAGCATAACCACTGTCATAAGTAGGTCGAATTAACCATATCTAATCACAATTGCAGGGAAACATTATACTATATTTTGTGCTTAATTAAGCATTACATAGTTATCAAGGTGCAAAGATGATTCAATGCTGAACCTACTCACATCGTGGGTCTCAACCTCCACACCTACCTATCTTCTTCGTGGATACAACAGTTGTCAAGAACTTCGGCCTAATTCATTGACAGAAAAAACAGACCCATCTCTGAAAAAGATTAGCCCCGTTTGCGTTAGTTGGGAACTATCATATGCTATTCGTCATCTTCTTCGATAAAAAATGGAATTAACGATCTACGTTACAGGAATTCCTCCTTTCAGTTTCGTATTGGATGCCAAAAATTTGTAAATATTTTTAAAAAGGTGAAGGATTTTGTAACACTGGTGTAAAAGAATTCTTATATTTAATTTAAACATTTTATTTAACTTATATTTAATATATTATAATTTATTATTGTTCCTTTTTTAAATAACTTATTAAAATAGTTTTTTTAGTTTACAATAATAAATTTATAATCAATTTTAAAGTATAAATCTTTTATGTAGTAGATCTAATTAGAAGAGCCCATAAATAATTTATAAAAATAATCTATGACTCTTATGATTTTTTTTTATAGAAATAAATTTATTTTGATAAGTTTATTAGTATAACTTATCAAACTAAGTTATTTTTATTTTATTTTAATGAATTTTATGATTGATTTTTTTTACTTAAATTATTATTTAAAAAATTATTAACTATGTAATTAGATGATTTAGATCAACTTTAGATAAACATTCAGAAAAATTATTATAAGATAAAAAAAAAGTACAAAAAATAAATAAGGTCTAGTTTGGATAACTTTTAGGAAAAAAAATTATTAAAAAATTAATATAAAAATTTTAATAAAGCTTTTTTTATTAGTTAAAGACAACTTGTCATTTCCAAATTTAGAAAAGTTAGATAAAAAAGTTTCTTAAAAAATAAAGAATCATATGTTGTTTTTAATTTATAAAAGAAAAATTTTTATTTATTTATTTTTACTAATTTATTTCTCTAATGAGGATTTTTTTTTAAAAAAAATTACCTGATTAATTGGATCTTAATAAAATTGTGTATCCAAACATATTCTAATCGTTAAATAAGTAAATAACTAAGTTATTACCTAAACGCACCATTAGTACTAATTATATGTGTGACAATTTAATTGGGCTCTGTGGAACAAAAAATAGAGAAGTTGGATAGACAAATTCAAGAAATCATTACTTGCCTTAGCTTAAGATGATCATGAAGCTAGATAAGAAAAAATCATTGACTGGAATCCAGTTGGTGAATCATATGAAATTAGTCTCCTAGTTTTAATTTGGGTATGAATGATGATGAAAATTAAACGCATCAATAAACTAAATATCAGTAATATAATATACTTTGTGAAATATATTTAGTGGCGTGAAAACACAGGTTTATAATCATTAGAACAAACCACCTGATTCTCAAAGCATTTGACAAATTTGTTTTCTTCTCTGAAAGCTATGTTCTACCGTATGATGGATACGCTCGTCTAACTTTCAAATAAAAGAACGTATTAAGGTCCATTCACAGCAAAGATCTTGGTACGAGCAATCTTTGGCTAGGCTATAAGTTTGACGGTGTTATTTAGAATGATGCATACAAAATGGAAGGAAAAGGACTAGACTCTTGAATTGGTGAGTAGTCATGGTTTGCATTATTGTCTCTACAGGTACATCTATATTATATCGTACTAAAAAAAACAGCAGAAAATGATTTGGTCGATTTTTGTCTTTATAATTTGTGCCTATAATTGATCTATGCACAGTGTTGCAAGTTTGTCATGGTCCAATATTTCGATGCGCTCTATAATTATACAAACCTCATCCACACATACAGCTTTTGTGTTTCTTAGCAACCGGGGAAAAGGGGGCTTTGCTAACTATTTATTATATTAATACTGGACACTTGTAACAATTATAGTACCCTTAATAAGATTTGCAATAAATTTTATGGACCACTTGTACGTGGGTTTTGTTTTGACGAAATATATTTCATTATAATAAATATTTTATTTTGTCAATAAATATTTACTACTTTATGTACTTGCTATCAATTCTAAAATTGTTATTGATAAAGTTTTAATTTAAATGTACTGTTAATGTAAAATTTTTATGATATAAATAAATTAACTTCTATATTATAAATAAGACTCTAAGGAAGTGTAATACTTGGAAATTTTTTTTTATATTTCCTTACATATATGTTTTAAAATTAAAATTATTGAAAATGATGTATGAATTATATTATCTCTTATTATAATAATTTTACTTTTTACTCATATTTATTAATTATATTCTAAATTTTAGAGATTAAAGAGTTGTTTGAAAAACAAATTTAGAAGTAGGAAAAGCAAAAAGAAAAACAAATTTTATGTTTAAAATTAATATTTTTTTAAAATAAATTATATAAATTAATTTTTTTTTTAAATATATGTATTTATCATCTTAAATAATATATAATTTTTT